CCACTCAGTAGTGCCCAGTACCCTTTTCCGCTGCTCCGTCCCGGGTCTGTCACCCCACGGCCGAGACCCGGCTGAGGCAGTTCATCGGCTCGAAACCGATAGCAACCGACGGCCAAGTAGAAAGCGTGCGCATGCCTTCTATTTGTACGCCAAGAGGCGTCATCCATCACCGCCCAACAGCTTACGTAGTGTAGTCCTCGTCCTGGTAGGCCTCAAGGCAAATGAGATAACTATTGTCGGCTTGGCCGAAGCCACCGCGATCCGTCGCCTTGCGCCCCGCGAATGAGTATCCACTTATTGCGTTGGCGGTGAATACAGTCCAGCATCCAGCAATCGCCCTCTACGGATAAGCTATTCTTCTTCGCTCATTAGTCATGGCCGGCCACAAGGCTTACGGTTTCCTACCCTAGAGGCTTAATCGACAGCGTGTTGCCGTCAGAGACAGAGCCGAGATACGTCCACAGCGGCATGACGGGATATATTGACGCGCCGGCTCAGCCATCCAACTTGAGACAAGAATGGGGTATCCCAGGGTGACGGTACAAGGTCTCGAAATAGGCCATCGTTGAAAAGGCTGAAAGCCAGGTTACATAACCAGTATGAATAAATGAATAAAATAAAAATAAAAATAAAAAAGTCTTACCCGTCGGCCCTGGTCTGGTGTTACAGCGCTTCCTGACGGCATCATGCGCAGGGGATGCCTGCCTGTCTGTCACAGCGCCCAGCCTTAACGTAGGTACTCAGTTAGACTGCAGTACAGTTTTTATCCGCGACGATGACCGAACCGATCGGAATCAGCCTGCAAACATGGCTGGTGTGCGGAAGCGCGTCTCCTACCGGTACTCGGAAGCGGGACAGCGCCTCTTTTGGTTTCAGCCCACTCCTCCCCATACCTACGTAGCTGTAAGGATATATGCGGCTTGTCTCGACCGCCGCCCACATTGGTGAGTCCTTGGAGTGGACATAATATCATCGGGTCGCATAGTTCAGCGATAAACGAGGCCCTCTACCGTTGTGCAATGCTATTAGTAGAGACTGGGCTGAGATGAAGGGGGGTCAGGAGAAGCAAGCCCAAGTGGGCAGGCAGGGCAGCAGACGACTGAGGACAATACCTCGTGACACGTATTCTGTGTAAGGAAAAGTTTGCCTCAACAGGTCGTGTCACGAAGAGACGGTCGATGGCAATTGCGGCGGTATTGCTTCTTCGCCCTCACCATTGCTTCACCAAGTCAGCGTAATCGGGCACAGCGAGAGCCACCTTGTCAATGATAGGTATGCTCAATGTCGCCTTGTGGCTCGACCAGCATGGCGCACAACGTTGCTAACAGTGTCAATTAGGCCAGACACTCGACAGGAGGGCCACACCAGCGAGTGCGGCATCGGGGGAACAATGTAAAGTTGGGTAGAGATGATGGTGATTGCTGGAAATACCTAGTGGGTGGAGGGAATGGTGGTGAGGGAGCCACCGGGGAATGTCGAGGCCGTCGTGGGTGGGTAGGTGGGGGAAGGGTATCTGAAACAGGAGGGGAGGGGAAGGGGACGACATGCCTTTTGCATTTGCTGTACGGATACGTATTTACATATCTCGTACTTACCTAGGTAGTGTGATCAACCTCGTACCTACCTATCTGTAGACAAACTTCGCAGCGAGCAAAAATGGAATGGTTGGAGTTTGGGGGACGAACGAGCAGCAATGCAATACAGTTGAATATGAGAACGCTCTCTCTTTTTTTTTCCCTTCCTCGACAGGCATACCTAGTGCAACCTACCTAGGTAGTGTGTATGTGTGTGTGTATGTGTGTGTGTGTGTGTGTGTGCGCGAGGCGGGATGGGTGCCGCACAGGCATTCGTCATCCATGCAGGTTGGTGGAACGGGGAGCTTCCAGGCTTCCTTTTTAGGCAGCGGGTTCGGATTCTGACCACATTTGTTCACAACACAAGCATCGTGTGATGCATCCTAGGTAGGCCGAGTATCCGATATCCTGATTGTAAACGAGAGTGAGGGTTTTTGGTGGGATTTTTTGGTTGTTGTTTTTTGAAGACACCCGCTGGTGCAGGTGCACATACGCTTGCTTTCTCTCTCTCTCTCTCTCTCTCTCCCTCTCCCTCTCTCTCTCTCCCCCCGGCCCCCTTTTGGGGGGACTCTCGGCAGACGAAACGAGGGATGTGCAGTGGCTTGCGGCGGCAAGATTCACGGGTTTCCTAGCGCAGATCATGCTCGGTTCCGTTGGTTGTCGTCGGCCGACACACCGACAGAGGCAGCTGGAGGGATTGCCTTGTATGAGTACCTTGGTACCTACAGGTGCACGCACGACCAAATCACAGGGGCTACCACGTTGCCTATCGATGTCCCCCGCGCTACAGCTGTCGCTATCGCTATCGCCGTCGCCGTCGCCGCCGCCGCTGCCGCTAACGACTCCAGAGTCTGCGCCGAAGGTGGGGGGGGGGAGGCGCTGTAAATCTTGTGGACCGACCGCTCGGCTGCCCCTGGCCTGGGTTGACGTCAAGCAGGGAACGTTGCCTCATCCGCCATGCTGGGCTTTGACTGCGCCCCGTGTCGCGACTACGGATGGCTCCTATCCAACCCCCTGGCTAACGGTAGGGGGGCGATCAACAGGGTCTTTGGCATCAGATGAAGACGGGGGCCGATAACTCGACAAGGACCCTCTCAGAGACGGGTGGAAGGGGAGGGAGCTACATTTGACGAACTCTTGCACTGCTTGCTGTACGAACATTCTTCAAGAGTCAAGAGCAGCTTCGTGTGCTCCGATAGGCCGGGACAGGCGCTAAATAAAATAAAATAAAAATAACGGCGACAACGGTCCAGCTACCCAACACGTGGGCAGTTGCGCTACATATCTTGAGCCGTCTCGAATCGGGATACTTGGTTGGCATTTACCCCGTTGCAGAGGCGCCGAACATTAGAGGAGCTTTCTGGGTATGAGGGCAATTATCGACTGGCTCATTCCGTCCAAAACTTATTATCGTACGCTCTTAGAACACCGGACGTCCCCCCTTGATTGAATGCGATTGAACGTCATGCCTGACCAAGTGGGCTCGCCGTGGCTGTCCACGCTGTAGCCTCCCTCAGATCGGATCTAGACTAAGTTGGGGCGTTGCATCCGAATGTGACTTAGCATACGGAGTACTTGATATTATATGGCTGCCGAGCCAAGACATGTGTCGAGTCCCGGTGGCTTGCTTACTCCGCCCCGGCTCCTCCAACCTGCAGGTGCCGCACCTCGAAACCGAAGGAATCCAAGATTGAACAAACCCAGAAGTAAAATAGGTAACTAGTCAAATTAAAATACCTCTTCTCCATACTGCAGTATGTGGCAGCCCAGTCATGAGGCACAAGAACAGACACACACGAACGCGTACGGACCTTTGCTTGGTTGGTACTACACCATGCATCCTGCAGCTGCACCTCGGACCCTCGAGTACATACGTTCTTTCCTACCCGTCCCTCTTTTCGACAGGGACATACTACCTAGGTAGGTAGGCAAGGGGCCGTGGGATGGTTGGGTGTCTTGCCCGAACGGATAGCAACATCCTCTCCCTTCCCAAACTGACAACCTCCCTCGCTTGTCTCTCTCACTTTGCATCTTATCATCTCCGACTATGGCCAGCCATGGCCTGACACTTTGTCGTCATCCTTCGCCTTCGACATGGGGACTCTCTGGAGCACTGGCTCGCCTCTATTTGACGCGACAGTGCTGGTTGAGCATGGCCGAGACGAGGTCCATGACAGTTAAATCCAGACAGAAAGGGAAACCCCGGGCTGTCATCGGTGCTCTTATGCTCTTACTCTCTCGCTCTGACCACAAGGAGGCCGGCCCCCTTTTTTCCGCCAAGGGGAAATGTGTACTGTATCCGCTCCCACCCACCTGTCTGCCTGCCTGCCAATTGCGTGTAAGTCGGCACAAGAGGTCTGGCAAACTACCTTCCTTCCCGTCCGCTTGGGTACCCCCTCCCGACTCTCATCCTAGGTAGGTAGGTATCCAACCCCCCCTCCCGTCTGATCTCCCCTCCTTCCCGGCCTAACCCTGTTCCTGTTCCTATTGAGCCTCGACCCTTCCTGTAAGTGGACTGGCTTCTTGTTGCTACCTCACCTTTCTTAATACGGCAATATCCCTCCTGCCACTCCAGATCCGAGATATCACCCTCTTCTGCCCCCCTCCCCCCGGCGCTCTCTCCCTTCTCATTCCTCGAGTCTTTTCTCTCGGCTTCTTTCCTTCTTTCTTCCAACAATCGCCCCGTTTCTTCTCTTCATCTCATTCTTTACTTTCCCTTCTACCCCGCCGGGCGCGTGCCTTGTCTACTTCATTCCTCCCACCTTGACCGTTGATTCTGCATTCTTGCTTGTCTTTGCCGACGACTTGTTTCGTCTCTCTTCTAGCTCTCATCTTGACTCGAACCGACACGCCCTGCTTCGGACTCAACTCGCTGGGTCCGTTTGCTTGTACCTTGGTTGGTCTTGTCGCAGACTGCCTCCCACTATCCTCCTTCCCGAACTCGACGTACCGAACCTTCTTGTGGCCTCGTTCGCCTCTCTCATCTTTCCAACCACCCAGGCATCTACCTTGCTTATTTCTCGTTCTGGACTCTTCGGACTGAGCCGCATTTTCGCCCAGGCTGTCGCGCATCGACGCCTTTTTGCGTCAGCGCCAATTCTAGCTCAGCTCTAAAATTGAAACTTCAGCTCCAGGTCAGACCATGACCTACCGTATGACGTTGTGACGGGTCCGGTCCTACACATCACGAGTATTTTCAGTTTTGGAACCGGTCACGCCGAAACTTCTCTTCGACCAAGGCGCCCCTACTTGACTGGTACCGTCTCACTTTTGTAGAGCCTCTCGCCTCCCTCTACTATCATCATGCGGTGCCATATCCTGGCCCAGGGCGCTGTTGTGGCAGCTTTTCTTGGGGGCGTTTGCGCGCAGTTGGATTCCTTGTCGCCTTGTGGTGTAAGTTCAGTTGTTTTTTTATTGTCCTAGTAAATGCTCAAGAAGGTCTTTGGGGTCCACAGTGCATCATATGAGGCCTCGATTGAGAGAAAACTGGGCGTGCCTCTGAGCATCGCACTGAAGGTTCTGGCTAACCACAAGAATCTTCGTCAGGTTGCATGCGTCAACAACGTCATTGCCAAAGGCTTCGGCTGTGCATCGGGGGACAATACTTGTCTTTGTAAGCAACAAGACTTCGTCTTCGGTGTTCGAGATTGCGCCGCGCAGTCATGTACGGCGGATGAGTCTACCAAGGCCAATGACTACGTCGCCGGACTATGCGCAAGTATGTAATTTCATTCGCAGATCTGATGATAGCCTCACTGACTTTTCATACTAGCTGCAACCAGAGATCCTTCCGCTTCAACCCCGCCGCCATCCACACCTGCTACACAGCAATCAACACCATCAACGGCCCCTTCATCAACGACCCAGCCACCACCGCCAGCAACCACTGCTCAGGCTAGTGAAGCTGGGTCTCTGATTCCGTCTGCTCCCCCCAGTTCAGCCCCTTTGGAAGCAACCAGTAAGCCCATAACCGAGGTTGCACAGGCGACTCAACCCCCAGCTATTACCCCTACAACTTTGGTAAGTAAATGGCCATGGCTTGGTCCAAGAGTATGGGAACTGACGAGTGTGCCAGTCCGCGTCCGTTAGGCCGCAGTCCTCGATAACTACGACGTCATCTACGCCAACTTCCCCTGGGACTCGGCCGTCACAATCTGCTTCGGGCCCGGACGCTGGGCCTGAGAATCAGTCCAGCGAAGCCTTGGGCCTTTCTACGCCAGCCATGATTGGAATTGGAGTGGGTGCAGGCGTCGGCATCATCGCAGTGGGTGTGGCCTTGTGGCTTCTTATCAGGCGACCGAAAAACCAGTTGCGCTCGATGCAGATATCTGGACCAATGCCGGGTTCCGGAAGAGATTACACGGGAGGTATCATTGGCATAAAGGAGAGGAATCATTCAGAACTGGATGCGAGGTCGAAAAGGTACGAAGATATGGTGCCACGCCAGTCGCCGAGACGAGTGATATGAAGATTTCCTATCCAGGCATGCCGCTTGGCTTCAAGGCGTAATGTAATGGGCACCCGGTCTGTGGCACTTGTCGTTCGGACACATGGCTCGGAGTCCTTCCACAGGCCACTCTAAACAGCAACCCGAACATGGCCTCGGCTTTGGGGCATGTATGCAGCGTGTCAGGATGATGCCTGTTACGAATTATGACTAGACGAATGTTCACGTGTTGTGGCGATGAACTGGGAAAGGGGATGATTAAACAGCGGGCCATTATACCATAGGAGGGGCGGGCTTCGCTGCGGAAACGCGCTCTATTGCTGAGACAAGTACCAAAGATGGCGAATATGGCGTAATGGATCATGTTCTATGGCGGGTTTCATTGTACATATTCTTACATATTCTGACTGATACAGTATGGGCTTCTCCCAGCACCTTGATCAACGCACCACCGTCCCAATGTTGTTTTTCGCTCGGTAGTTTGGCTACCACGAGTAGTAAGGTCTCTGGGCCGTCACGGGCCGGTCAGGCAAGTGAACCCAGGGCTTCCTCCGCGCCTGCTTGGCAAGCTTGTCCTTGTACTCCCGTATTCTTGTCTTCTCCTCCTTCAGCACGACCGAAATGCCTGGAACACTGTTAGCATCAAAAGAAAACGCAGTGGGGGGATAATGATTGAGGACGCACTGGTGGAAGGTGATTGCATGATGCCGAATCTACCTCTGCCCTTGTAGTCGAGTTCCTTTGATCTCCAGGGTCCTCTGCCAACCCAAGCCTGGGCAACATATAGCCTCGTTGGGTCTTCGACGGTCAACGCCTTGCCATCCTTGGTCTGGATCTTGATGGGCTTTGTATCCGCATCTCCGCCCTGTCTCTTGGCTTTCCCCGGACCGATACCCATACCACGCGTAACAACAGCGAGATCCCTTGCCTCTTCCAGCTGGTACTTGACCTCCGCCGCCATCTTCTTTTTGGAATATGACATTTGCAAAACTGCCTCCTCGAGCGTCTTGCCCTGGATCTGGCGCGCCAGATGCACGAGCTTCTTGACACTAGTCTCCAAAAAGGGACTCTTGTGCGCCAGCTCCTTTTCGGTTTGCGCAATGCGCTCTGAACGGCTGACACGACCGTTCCGACGAACCATCTGGATGACCTTCTTTCTCTCCCAGCGCAGACGGCTTCGCGGATCAGGGTCAAGTCGCCAGGCGGTAGTCTCCGGTGTCTTCAGAGAAGCCTGCCCCATGTCGGCCTTGGAACCCATCTTTCCCTTGAAAACGGCATCATCGACCTCCTCTTCGAAAATGGAGCTAGACATCTGGGGCTGTTGTTGCTGAGCAAAACGCTGACGGACTTTGGGATCATCGAGGTTCTCCCCTCCCGTCATGGAATCATCGGTGCTGCTACGGCCACCACGACGGTTTCCAAATAGACCGCCAAAACTCCATTTGTTTCTAACTTGGGTAGAAGAACGGAGAGGCAAAATAAAAGATCGAGGGACCGGTCGAGCGATGGATTGGAGGGCCGAGGGAGCTGTAAGAACTGCTGGTCAGCCTGAAGGGGAATAGTCCAAGTGACAGGAACTGGGTTGCCACAGAAAGACACTGGGGGCAGTCGTAAGGGTTCGTGTAAGTCTAAGCAAAAACGTACCAGACGAGGCTAACCTCGTGGGGAGGTTGAGGCTCATGGCTGCGACTGATTGTGCTGGGTGACTGCCAGCGAGCTTCACTTTGCACCCTTGACGGAGAAAATTACCATCAAATCGAAAGATTCCACTCACACGCTCCGCGTTACGCCTGGGGTGTGGTCTGTGTCGGCTATCAGCCGTAGTTTTTCCTGAGCCGTAATTACCTAAGCCACATACCCTCAACCACAGTCAGCCACAGAAGCCAGCCAACCAGAACGGAGCAGATTCAATCACATAGATGGGTGCTTAGCTAATAGTACATGCCGGCAGCCGGGAAGGTCAGGAACCAAAAGCTGAGGAGCGTCAGCCAAAAGGCAGAACTGTAGGGGAGAATTTGATATCACGTGATGGCCCCATCGCGCGAATTCATCAGACCACTCAAGCTACCCGAACAATTGAGCATCATCAAATCACCCTCCGGTACACGAAATCTCGGCCCAATCGATTCGCACAACTTATACCACACTATTCATCACTATGGCCGGCACTACCGCTGTTAAGCCCATCACGGGTGTACGTTTCCCGGATCAATTGAGCCCAGTGTCCCGCCCGTGCTGGTCGCTGGAGTAAGAGAGGACAAACTGTTAGCTAACGACGGATGATAGATGCTGCGACGCAACCTTGTTCTCGACCTTGGCATTGCTCTCGGTAAGCCTCACCATGCAGTGGACGGGTGAAAGGCGTTTGAGTGATCTGCTGCGGACCGGGGAAGAGAAATCATGCAATCGGGAGTTGATCTCTGTCTTGACTTCCGGACCGGCCTGCGCGCGCCGCAGCGCAGTTTCAAGCCTCCGCCCTTGTTGCCTTACGGTCCAAGAACCACCGGACTAACCATACCACAGGTCTCGGCTTCGCCATGGCCAACGTCTACTGGTACGCGACCACCGTTGCAGAGCCCTATTAACCTTGGAAAGAACCCCAACACTAAACCGCACGATAGGTACGGTTACCACATGCCGCGCACGAACGCCCGCGACAGCTACTACGCCAAGCTTGAGCAGCAGAAGGCCGATGCCCGCGGTCAGAAGGCATAAACGACAAGGACAACTGACTGGGCATGATGAATGAGGCAGCGGGGTGATAAAGAGCGATCTGTTAGATTGGGCGACGGGAGCGAGAGGGCATCTGCGGTCTTAGACAAGATACGGGCTTCATCAGCTGGTCGACCGATCCCGATTGTACCATAGACACCAGCAAATCGAGTTGGAAGTTTTCTTATGTGCATAGCTGCCGTGCGGCATCTACCCTACCCTACGTAGGCGTGCCGTGGCGTTGTCCACGGACTTGTTGTCCTTGCTGTGAACGTGTTATCCGCTGCCCAAGCTGCATTTACCGGGTCACGTATGGAAGCAGGCAAACGGACAGCCAGGTGATTCGTGTCGAGATAAGGCAACTAAAAGCATGATGAGAACTGTTTTTCTGGGTCATCTCATGTACCGCCCGCATTGGCCGAGTTGGAACATGCAATGACATCGGCTGCCGCGATGACTTCGAATACTCGGCAGCGGGCTTCCTAATATCGTCATCACACACGATGCATCGATGCTATGGCTAATAAGGCCATGGTCTTGCGCAAAATATAGATTGAAGAGACTGAGTAGAGAGCACGATAGCGCCACCCTCGAGGTCGTATATCGTTTGAAAGTGGTTTAGGACATTGATGATGCCTTTAGATAATATCATCTCGGCAACTCAGTGCAACGCTCATTCATCCTGCCATGCCTGTGACCATTGATGGTACACCGGGTCGTTGTTGTGTCCTTGTTCGGTTTTGGTGCTGCCCGTCGTTGGGGAGGTCCGTTGGGCGCTGTGGATCGAGCCCTCCCATGCTGTTGTTTCAATTGTGAACGTGCCCTTTTTGTCTCGACATCTTTTCCAAAGAGAAGGGAAAGCCCAACCGCCGTCAGCAACTCGGAGCATTAAAGAACAGCATCATCGGCGGACAAGAAGGGGGAATCAAAGAAACTTACTGCCGGAAGAGCCGGTGTATCGGCCAACATCGCACTGGGCTGTCTCGGGACTTTGAGTCGTCGACGTAGCACCGAAACTGCGTCATCTCCTTCAAAGCACACTTGGTCAAATCGACATCGGCGCCCCTCGGAAGCTTGCGCTTCTTGCCTTTGACATTGGCTTGGACGTGCAGCTCCAGCTCCGAGACGGGGAACACTTTGCAAGGTGGTGTCATTTTGGCGACGTTGGCGACGGCAGGCGGCAGCAGCGCTATACGGGTTTTTTGCAATAATGGAAATGCCTTCGGCGGCAGCTCGGGCTGGCGCGAGGCTACTAGGCGATGTCGAAGAGGCAAATCTAGAAGAGGTACGCGAATTACGCTTCACTCAATTTCCCCCCCCCTAATCTTAAGGCGGATGCCGTGGGGTCGAGACAGGCTGCGTCGTCGATCGAGTGCTCTGTACAACAACGATGGATGATGGGGTGATGTTTTTGTCAAGGTTGGACCCGCGGACAAAACCACAGTGAAATGCTCGCGACGTCCTTTCACCCTTCCCCTCACCAGCGGTGTGTCGTTGTCACTGCCATCACCATCACCGGATTTTTCCCTCTCCTGTTTGTTTTTCTGCTTCCTCACCCTCATCGCATTACATCATTTAAGGGACGAAAATCTTATAAAAAAAAAAGAGGGAAGAAGGAAGAAGGATAATGATAACGATAATGATAATGATGATAAAAGTCGCATTTATAGATCACTGACTTCCAACCTTACTAGATCCTGAACGCATTTCGCACGGCACTTAGTCCTGACGCATCGTCCAGCAAGGCAAAACACCCAAAGACGTATCCCATCCATGGCCTGGGCGCCCTCGTCAACCGCAATTTCCGTGCGACGAAGTCAGCGCCGCTAGCCATCACTGGCCGTCACCTCCCGCTCATCTACTCACTCGTTTCTGCGCTCGTCTCGCCGCCTCACAACAAGACAGTGCTGGTACTCGACACAGAGCACCGCTTCGATGCAACACGTCTTATCTGTGGTCCAGATAATATCCGTCACGTCTACGTGCACCGGCCGGCCTGTTTCAGCATTCCTGAACAACATGGCGTCAGCAGCGCCGGCATGGGTCCGGACCAGGCTCGGGATCTCGTCGCGGCAGCCGAGAACTGGATGCTCTACGGCGATCACGCCAGCAGCAGCCGTGAGTGGTGGGGGACCATAGTTATCGGTGCCGTCGGTGCCGGTGACGTGACGGGCGCCTGGAAGGGCTGGCTCAGAATCGACCGAGACACCGTACCCGGGTTTTCACTCGGCTGCAGCGCAAAGGAGGCCATGGCAGATCGTCAGAGGCGCCAGGAAGCCGTCGATGCTGCACCATGGACTGCCTCTTCGCAGTGGGGGGGTTTCACCTTTACAGAGCCCGGTGCTTCCGTTACTGCAACATCAATCGACTTGACCGATGTAGCCAACTGATGGGTAGAGCGTGCAGAGTACCTTTAGGGGAGGAAGTACAAGAAGAGTAACAACAACAATAACAAGCACTCAACGTTGCCGAGGATTGCGCCAGACATATATGGCACGGAGGCTTGTATTCGACCCCGAGCCGGTTATATGCGGTGAAATGAGGGGTGATGTTGCACTAACATAGGAGCCAGCCGGGACACAGCCAACACCCGCAGGAGGACGGCGCGGCGCCTGAGCGCGAAATGACGGTATTCCACAGGCTCGGCATCGGCCGGCCCAAAGGGGCAGCAACGTGTTCACCCTTCGGCTTGGGGCATCCAGTCCGTCGTGCGAGGATGGAGAGCCGGTCCCACACATGCACACATCGAGTGAAGCAAGGAAAAGGTTGTAAAGGTTTGAAAACAGTGAACCTCGGCGTCTGCTTGCGCCCGTGTATCAATTTAAGGTCTGCTGACAATGATCTGTAGTCTACCTCTAGACTCTAGTCGTGATCTTCGTTGTTAACGCCTGTGGTATCACAATTTAACTCCTTTGATAACAAGCCAAGCCCAATCCAAATGAACCTCTGAAGCCCTAGGAGGCAAAAAAACAATAAGGAAAAAGAGAAGACGGAAAAACAGGACCCCCATAAACTCGCTCGTTCCCTGATATATGAATGCAGCAGTGCTTCATGGTTATGAGCTCAGCCCAGAATCGGCTGGCTGCGCTCCTCAAGCGGTGTTAGAACAGCACTGTCCCTCTCCTGCATGGCGCGCAGGCAGTCTGCTTCGCCAAGGACGTCCTTCCGGAGGGAAGAAACGACACGCTTTCGGATCTCACGCTGGATACCGTAGCGAACAGCGTCCAAGACTGTGGGGACGACGGCCTTGGGCTTGTAGGCAGGCTCGGTGCCGTCCTGGTAGACGCCAGTCTTGACGAGGATGCTGTGCCACTCGTTTTCGGCCTGCTCATTGTAGAGGTTTGTGCCACGGATGTCGCTCTCGGGCGTATCGCCGACGAAGTAGACAGTGTCGGGTGGCGCGTCGAGACCGTGCTGCTGACGTCTCCATTGCTGTAGCAGCCTTGTCGCGAACTCAAAAGTGCTGACCTGGGGCTTGCCGAAGGCATGGGTGTGCAGCTTGCCCTTCTTCTTTGTAACGTCTTTGAAGATGACCTCGAGCATGCGGCGAAGCGCGCCCATGCCGAGACGGACATTGTCGTGGGCGGCGGACCAGACGATGTCGTTGTGGGAGAAGTAAATTGGCGGGCCCTCGTCCAGAGTCTCGCTCAAGGTGCCGAGCTTGCCACCCTTGGACATGGCCAGGTCGAGCATGATCTGGATGTCGCCAGCCCAGTCACGGGAATCGGCAAAGACGAAAATGGCCTCGATGGTGACGTTGGAGAAGTCACGCTCGCGAGAGTTCTTCAGCTCTTCCGGCGTGAGCTTGCGGAAAGGAGTCGTGGCAGAGTTGTGCTTGATGATGTCGCCAGGGGTGATGACATCCTTGAATCCGTAGCCCTCGGCCACTTGACGGCACTTCTCGCCCTCGCCGCCGACGACGAGGACGGTGTTGAAGCGCTCGGCCATTTCCCTCATAGGGGTGTGGCCGCAGATGAACTGTGCGGGAGAGATGTCGATTTGCATCTGCTTGGACAGATCGGCGCACCTCTCCTCTTCCGTCTTACCACCACCGTTGGTGAGGAAGATGTATGGACTAAAGCTCATGTTAGTCTAAGACCATAATGGCAACCGGGTGGCAGTGGGTGTAGGTGGGGCAGGTGGCCCACAGGGACGCACCACCCACCCCACTGAGGAAGCGAACTTACATCTGAATACCGTACTCGTTCTCGCCGTTGAGCACCTTCATGGCCTCAACAGCTTCGGGGATGGCACGGCCGCCCCTGATAAGGACGCCGTCGATATCAAAGGCAAATGCGAAGCTGTCGGCCACGGGAGCGTCGACGGCGGTCGTGGGGGTGACGGGTGATAGAGCCCCAGCCGGGCTGCCGAGCGGAGAGGAGCCGGCAGAGCCGCCGGGGGAGCCGTCGGAGCCATCGAGCGAGGAGTCGGGTGTGCTCAGGGCCATGTTATCGAGCTGTTTCCGGGCAGCCATGATGTTCTCAATGAAACTGCCGGTGGAGGAAGTCCGGTGATTGGGAGCCATGTTGGGCGATTGTGGATGATGGTAATAGCCTCGAGTATTGGGTTGTGCGAAGAGGCAAGGCAAAGAAGGTGACGAAAAGTGGTCCGTAATTAGGCAAAGCAAAATGTTTCGAGAAGGAATTGCCTTTGTTCAGCAAAATGGAGGGATGCTGAAGTTAGATGCTGATGCATAGTATAGATATCAACCCCGTCAGAAAGGGAGGGGGGGATACCGGATTATATAGTCTTGATATGAGAGCATCTTGACTTGATGCTGACGTCTCTCGCCTCGACCCTCCTCTTTTCCTTTCTCGACTGCGCGTTTTCGAGTCCCTTCCCGGCATGCATAGGTATGTACGGACGTCTCCGCAAAAATCAGGCAAACGCGGGTCCTTGGTCGGTGCAGCGACACCTTTGGGACGAGTTTCTTGAGTCGTGCATGGTGCGTGGATACCGTGGAGGCGAAGCAGGGTGAGAGGTTTTTTTTGGATCCCAAACAGCGCGCTCGCTCCACACAGGACACAAGGACCTTACCTGCTGGTGGATTTGTTGCTTCTTACAGGACAGGATAGAGCCACACGGGCGGTCTGTCTTTGTGTCTCCGTACTGGGTGTACGTTACATGCGGCGGCACGTATGCGTAGCTGCCAGCCTGGGGTACCTAGGTAGGTAGGTAGGTAGATTACCTAGGTAGGCAGTCGTTGTACATACGTACGATGTATTTGATATATACACATTGATTCCATCGACGTCGTTTGGTAGGAGAGGATGAAAGAATCAGCAGCAACGTGAACGGCGGAGTGGGTCGGCGATGATGCACCGTCAGTCCGTCTACATCTCACCGCCGCCGTCATAAGATAAAGGTAGTTGGCAGTGAGCGTAATGTGTAGCAACGAGCATTTGGTGCGTAGCCAGGTAGGTATTCATTCATAGTGGGTGTACAAGTATGGAGTATACACCGCAGGGTACTCCGTAGACGTCGCCAAAACCAGCGAGTCGACCAGCGGGCCGCTAACAATTGGGTGGCCGGCGCATGGTGCAGAAGGCCCCATCTAGTCTCCATTGTGCCAACCGTCATGGTGGAGACTTTGGAGTATTCCGGCTACTTCGTTGCGGCTGCAAAAGGTTCCGCGGTCGAGACAGGGCAGGGCGCGAGGACAGCGAGAGGTGAAATGCCCCGAGGGGGTGGTGGTGGTGATGATGATGATGATCAAGGGACCGATGCGGCAGCGATCGACCCTGCTTTCTTCCCATGCGGTCTTGGCAGGCGACGAACATTCAAGTATGCACGCTGCCGTCACACCCCCCGACGTCGTCGGACCCTGAATATGGTTCGCCGCGTACCTGTAGTCTGTAGGCAAGTCTCAGGGCTTTGGAGGCTCTCGTCCTCTCTGGACTAGACTAGACTAGACTAGACTAGACTAGACTAGACTAGACGTAATTCCACGTCGTCTAGGAGGTGCTAGGGTTCGTGTACAGTAAGTAGTGCAAGGTACTGTTTCTCACATGCCTTGCCTCCTTACCTCCATCCCTCCTCATATCAGTGCTATTTCCGTGGCCCGGCACTGCAGGCAGGCCTCACGCAACCATCCAAACGACGAAAGGGGGGGGGGGGAGGGTTCAGGGTTTGCGTGGTATAGGAAGAAGATACGGACACAAGACGTTGGACTGGGGCCAGGGGAAGACGCGACAGAGAAAAGGTACTATCAGTGCACATCTACAGTCCGTACATCCGCACGCCGTTTCGTCTTTTCTTGATGCCCCGTCAATCAGCGTTGCGTTGTTCCCAAGTCCAAAACAGTCAGTATCAGAGAAGCGCCTCCTGGCTGGTTGGCTACCTCCCTCTCTCCTCTTCCTACCGGCACACTACACTACACTATCTACTTACTCCGTAAATCCATCCCTTATCGATGCATCCATAGTGTACACTACCTACACTACCTAGACGGCAGGGAGGCACAGGGATGGTGCCCGCAGGCTTGTTGCGATAGCAGTGAAAGCGATCCACAAATGCGAGAATGCCTTTGCACCACAAGGTGGAAGTTGCATCAAGGACACATGTCAGTGTACCTATGAATGTACGGATACTCCGTACTAGTGTAGGTATGTAGTGTACGATGTAGGTATGCGTGCGCGCCGTTGCCCGTTGTGTATGGCTGGCTGGCTACCAACAGGGTCCCCCCCCCCACTTGGTTCAGGCGGGTCGGTGTCCCTCCGGCGAGTCCGCAGTGACGTCAGAACATAAGGGGTTCCCTGAAAGAGGGGGGGGAAGTTGTGGTAAAGCGCAGGGATCTTGGAGGAGAGCAGCGATTGGCGCTCGCCAAGCTGCTCCGCTACACTAGACGGGCCGAAGGAACATCCGCACCGTTTACGTCTTAGATAAGAAGGGCCTCCCCCCTTCAGCGCAAACACCCGGAACTTTTCAGCGGCGCCGGGCCCGGGAATTCTCGGTCCCACGGAAATCCTACGGACCTTGGCCCTGCATAACCGCCCTTGTCTCACCTCATTGTTAACTCGCCCTGCTAAGTGAGCTAGCTTGGTGTAAACTAGATTAGGATACCTTGGAGGGGGGAAAAAACAATGTGGTAATGCGAGGAAACATCGCCTGCCTATCCTTGGCAACTTGTTCGTCCTGATATCCACCTAACCATCTCATCAGAGTCAGGATATCCGTACACTGGCAATTAGTATCTAGGGCAAACAACTGACTCCTGACTCGACCCAATGACGTGCCTTTATCCGTACCCATGTCAGAGATCTCGGAAAAGAACCACATGTCTACCTACATAGGTATAGAACAAGACCGTAGGACCACATAACTCCAGACCATCCACATGTGCGTCTTTTGTGGTCTTTCCGATTTTTGTGTTTGCGTCTCTGGGACTTTCGCTGGGGGGGGGGGGGGGGGGGGGGGGGGTGGGAGGGTGAGGGTGAGTTTAATTCAGTTACTGTATCTGGTAGATGCAGAAGAGCTTCATGATCATCATACGGTGGTCTAGTGTAGTGTACATCCAAAACCGGCCTCGCCTTTACATTTATTTATCCATCTACCTCGGGTGGACAAGGGGCCTACCCGCACAGGCACAGGCATATGCCTACCACTCTGTGCGGGCATGTTCTGTTCTCTGCCTCTTTTCTTCTTCTTCTTCTTCCTCTTCTTCTGCTTCTGCTTCTGCTTCTGCTTCTTCTATGGCTGCATAACTACGCCATCGGTCAGCTTTGCCGAGCCCTGTCAGGAAGTAGGCCGAACGAAGAACAGGCCTCAGCCCGGCGCCATCATTGTCGCGTCCTGGTGCCGCCTCGCGCGCTACTCGCGGGTCGCATTGCGATGCCGTCACACTGTCGGCCCGGGTCTAGGTCAGTGTCTGTACCCCCTCTACTCTACCCCTGTCGAGCCCCGCTCCGCCCTGAACTCTATCTCTGGGCAAGGGAGGGAGGAATGTACAGTACGCGTAGGTAGACTATCCTGTCACTAATCACGTCACAGCTGCCGTAGACTAGAGACCATCAATGCAGTCCTCTTCATCCTGTGCGCCCGCTCCAGCAGCAGCGGACATGGCAAGACGGAAAGAAATGAAAAAGAAAGAAACCCCTCCACTAGCAACGAGACATGTTGCAGGAAGAAACCCAAAGGCTAGCCCTGGGCAAAACCCATGCATGGCCTTGTAATACCAAGCCGAGGGGCCGGTGGAGGGGGCTGATGGCCTCAGTGGGCTGGCGTGATTGGGCAGAATCTGGGCGCTCAAGTGGATTAGGTGAGACGCCACTCACTTGCTACGGATAAATCACACATTCCCAACCCTTGGAGGTGCGTTTCACCCTTGATGGTGACGGATGAGGGTCGTTGGATGGCTAAGTAGTCCTTGTCTCCGGTGTTGTTTTATCCCTCATTCCTCATTCCTCACTTTACCTGTAACCTCCTTTCGCTACCTATGGCGAGAGACTTCCGGCTGCTCAATCCAGGCACTTGAATACATACTATGTACAGGCAATGAAAAATCTTCATGGGTGAGTGACGGCGCTTATTGGAGATTGACAAAGAGACCGCCATCGACCAGTAGCTGCGCACCCGTCACGTATCCACTAAGGTATTCGCATGCGAGGAAGACGGCTGGTCCGGCGAGGTCGGACGGCACACCGGTACGCCCAAGGGGAATGCGGCCTTCCGTGTATGCACGCTTGGCGTCATTCGCCAGGTCCTCCTCGTTGAGCTGTGTCTTGATGGTGCCGGGGAGTAACGCATTGCAGCGTATGTTGTACTTGCCCAGTGCCACGGCGGTGCTCTGCATCAGACTGAGGACGCCGGCCTTGGTGGGGGTATAATGGGTTTGCTGACCGCCGCCGACGAGGGCGGAAATGGACGAGATTCCAATGATGCTACCGCCCGCGGGCGACTGCTGACTCATGTGGCGAGCGGCGGCCTGGACGACGTAGAAGGCGCCGTCGAGGTTGGTGCGGACTGTCCTGGTGAAGAGGTCCGGTGTCAGGTCGAGAAACTCGGCAAATGTGCAGATGCCGGCGTTGGAGACGCAAATATCAAGACGGCCATTGCCCGAGTGCTCAACGGCGTGGGCAACTAGCCGGGCAGCAGTCTCTGGCTCACGTACGTCGCCAATCTGTTCGGCCAAACGGCCGGCGTTGGGATTTTCTTGCCTTGCGGCAGCAGCGTCGGCAATCAGAGCATCGAGGTGGGGTTGATCCTTTCCAAGGCCTAGGTGATTCACGACGACGTTGGCCCCTTGCTTGATATACTCGAGGGCAATGGCTTTTCCGATGCCGGTTGTGCCGCCTGTTATAATGGCAGTCTTGCCGGCGAGCAGGTTCGTCGGAGCCATCGCGGTGAATCGATATCGTTGGCGCGTCTGCTTAGTTTGGCATCAAAGGTTGAGGTTGAGTTAAGCGTCGGATGCTGAAAAGGCGGTCGCCTTAACTTATTTGTAGCTGACCATGTACCTACAGAACAATCGACGGTTGGTGGTGGAGCGGGGGAAGGAGGGAAGGGGGGTGAATGTGCAGCGAGGGCGGCTCAAGTGAGACCCGACGACCGAGCCAAGAAGTCACGATGAATATTTTCCTACTACTTACTTGGCTAGGTACCTCCCTACCTAGGTAGGTAGGCAGGCACCGAGATACGCATCTAGACCTATGTAGACTCTCTACGTGCGGTCTTCCTCCGCCTTGCACCCCGCATCATCGGTGTGAATTACAGCGAGCCATCCCCACCACTAATTACCACCTCAACATCCCGAAATTCTCGTGCATCATGCGCACTTGACCAGGCTGGCTCAACCCTCACAGTTCAGCCCGCATACCCCTTACTATTATTATTCTTGTCCAAGACACACCTGCCTGCATGCAAACAAGCTTCTGTGCTTGCTGATAAAATCTCATATTTATAAATGCTCCGGGATGACCATTCTCTCTCTTTCTCTTTCTCTCTCTGTGTGTGTGTGTGTGTGTGTTGCTCATGTTGTTGTCGAACACTCAGTAGGGTTTTTTCTAGTGTGATTTTGTTGATCAACCTGCGCTACACAATACATGGCCGCGACGGAGTAGATAATGTCTAGCTAGCGCCCCCCCTGGGCGTTTCCTTGGTCTATCGTTCTCACTGCGTTAACGTGTATGCTTTCCCTATTTCGAAGAAGTCGTGAGATCCTGCACCTTTGTCGTCACGTCATGCACAATGCCTTTCGCTTCACTCGTCTCCGTCCCCTCCGCTGCCTTAAGCGGTCTCTCCTATACTTGTTATCAGCACTGCGCAGAATACATCACCCGGTTCGGCAAGGCCACTTACGGGGTTGACATTGAGCAGTGACCTGCCCGAGATGAGCTTTGACCTCACTGCCGGGTTGATCGTGAGTCCAAAGCCAGGCTTGTCGAGGTCCGCCGTCGTCAGGAAGCCCTTGGTGGGAATGGGTTCGTCAAGGAACAGGTCACCAAAGACGGGCAGCACGCTCTTGCCGTCGGGCGAGTTGGCCAGGTACTCCTGAAACGGCGTGTTGGGCTGTGACATGACAAAGTGGTAACTGTAGGGGCCACTGGCGTGCGGGACGACGGGGATGTCGTATGCAGAAGCCATCGCCGACACCCTGAGCAGCTCCGTGAGACCGCCGAGCCACATGACGTCCGGCTGGATAATGTCCAGATTGCGGCCCTCGATGAGCTTGCGGAACCCAAAACGGGAGTACTCATGCTCTCCCGTTGTGAATTTGATCGTTGGGTGTGCACGTTTGATCTGCTCAAAACCATCCGTGTCGTCGGGCGACAGACACTCCTCCCACCAGTTGATGTTCAAGTCTTCGCAGGCCTTGACAATCTCAATGGTGTATGGAACGTTGAGACTCATGTAGCAGTCGACCATGATGGGGAAGTCGGGACCGACGCTCTCGCGATGCTTTCGCAGGAACTCGACGTTCTTCTTGAGACCGACATGGCCTTCCTCAGGGCAGTATGGGAGAGGGACCTTGCCGCCCCAAAAGCCCATTTCCTTGGCCGCCATAGGCTCGGGGCCGGTGCAGTAAAAGTCGAGACGCTCCTTGGTGGCACCCCCAATCAGCTTATATACGGGCTCATTCCTCAGCTTGCCGAGCAAGTCCCAGATGGCTAGATCGATGACGGAGATAACGGCAAGAGGGAGACCCTTTCGGCCGTAGAACATGGAGCCTCTGTACATCTGCTCGAACAACAGGTTCGTGTTGCGTGGGTCGGCGCCTAGGAGAAAACGCTCGAAGTGTTGGTGGACGAGCCAGCAAGCGGGAGGGCCTGTGTGAACCGCAGTCAGCTACGTTGTCCTTTGGTACAGTAGGTTGTGATGCAACATGCCTCCAAAACCAGTGGCTAGGCCGACAGTGCCGTCGGTCGCTTCAATCTCAACAAGGAAAGAGCCGAGAACGTTGATACCCCAGCTCGTTCTCGAGTTGCGGTACTGCTCCCAACGCGAACATGGAGTGGAGATGGGGCTGTCAATGAGCCTGTCCATCTCGCTTGTCAGTTCATGCTTCCCTGATGGCTGCGGCGGTCTTGCTGCAGAGGCGCAGCAGTAACACATACCAGTGGCCGCCCTTGACGTTATGGTAATCCCCGCCTGAGCCGACGCCGCCAATGACAAACGTCCGGATCTCCTTGATGGAGGGGAAAGATCTCACAGATGCCATTGTCCCGGTGTGAATCTATCTCCGGTTCTCTTTGCGTGCGTGTCTGTATGTCTGCTTGTGTATGCGGGTGTCCTGGAGATAATATCACGGAGAAGCATGAGGAGAGAAGGGTACTGGGCGACAATGGAGAGAAAGCAACGGGGAGTGTCTTTTAAGATAAAAGCCGTGACCCGGATTTTCCCAGACACACGAAGCTCGTCAACGAGAGTAAAACAAGCACCGAATCAGGGGAAACGCAGCTGGTAAGCCGACCACCTAGGTAGAACGAGCCTCTCGGGTTAGTGGGGGAGGGGGGGTAATTGACGAGACAGATTAGCTCGAGTTTACGGTGGACAAGAAGCTTTTGGAGGTCGGTCTCAGATAGCCCGAGACCAGCCATGATATCATGGATTGGGGAGGGGGGGTGCCTCGGAAGTCCAGTAAGGCATGTGGAAGAGCCCCCCCCCCCACTTCCACATGCCGGGCTTCGGAATGGAATTGACCTTGTCTACTTGCCTAGGTAGTGAGTGTATGGTGCTACATGCAGGTAACGCGATGCGGCGACCATCGTCGCCCTGGACCGATACAAGCACGATTTCTCAAGCTTGAGGCTTCCCATCACGAGGAAGAAGAGGAAAACTCGAAGCTGAGCGACAATTGAAGCCCGTGGTCTGCCACGCATTCATTGTTGGCTGGCGAATCTGCCAAGTGGCTGAAAGCCTGGCTACCAGGGTACCTACTCGGGTACAAAGTACTGCCCTCCGGGCCATTCATGACCGACCCCATCCCCGGCACTCCGCATTTCTGGTGGACCCTACTCAGCAGATGAAGGGCGAATACGGACACTACGGGGACAGGAGGCCTGTCCCCGCACGCACTCATGGTGGAGACAGTGGGGTGACCCATGGCACCTGGGTGTTGCCGTTGTCGTTGTTATGTTGATCGGGAGTTGTCTTACCAGACCCGATCACCGGGGCGCGGCCGTGATGCATGCGGTCCGTTACGGCCTACGAAGACTCCAGCCTCCCCGGATTTCTGAGAAAAGGCCATCGTCATGGAGATGGCACAGTGTGGTAGTCCGCTTCTGATCACCGTATCTCAGCAAGTGATTCCAGGGGGGGGGGGGGGGGTTCTTTCCTTTGCCTTCTTTTTCTTTTCTTTTTCTCTGTTTATCTCCTTTTTCTGGTTGTGGGCTTGAAACCCGTTTGCAGTCGCCGCGGAAGATATCATGTCATGACGAAGAACATGGATGTGGTGAACATGGCGCTGTCGGACTACCTATCTAGCTATACATGGTGATTTTACCCCCTCAGATACGGATATTAATACGGGTGAATAGACATATTTCGGTCCCAAGCCCCTCTCATTCCAACAGAAGCAGTGAAAATATTGATATCATAGTCTTTTTTTTCCCTTTCTTAAATAAAAACAGCTCGTAATTTGAAAGGATGCAGAATCGTATGTATGTATCTGGAATCTGGCCATTCAGTGCACTGTAGTGTACTACGCGGCACCTGCCTTACCTCGGATGATCCTCTTCCTCTCCTACTCCTAGCGGCTTCTCCGCATTCTATGTTCTCCACAACCCCCTCCTTGTGCGGGCAGCGGCCAAGACAGTCTCGTCACCTTCCATTCTTTCCTTCTTCTCCACACTATCCATTTCCATCCTGCCGCCCCCGTTTACAGTTGCTTCTTGTCCCACCTAGCTGCTCGGTAGACTACCTACCTACCTGTAGGTACCTAGGTGGGTAGGCTCAGTGCAGTACCTATTCTTAATTTATCCTGCAGAGTAGAAACTCTACCAGCGTCTTCCTCTCAAACTTGGGCAACGCTCCATTCATATGTACACAAAGTAGGCGCAGGTCCATCCAGCAACGAGAAGAAAGCACACTGGCAGCTCGGCTCGATGCTCAAACTCGATTTAGCCTGTCTCCCATCTCATCGTCTCGTCCAATCCTAGGCTGCCTTGTTCTCTCCCCGCCTCCGCTTCCTCCTCTTTTTCCCCTTTCCCCCGCTCTCCAGTACACCCCAGTCTGGTCCCCGTTCGCGGCACGTGTGGGACAGAAAAACAAGAATACCCCGAGCCCTTTCCCACTTGCACCCAGCCCTTCCCCCCCCCCCCCTCTGCTCAACATTACCCCGAGGTTCCCAATCGTCTCCCGAATCCGCGCGTTGGCATCTCGCACAAACGCCTGCGACTCCAGTGCACTCGCTCGCTCTCCTCTCACCCTCGCTCCCGGCGTCACTCTTCTCGGGCCGAGTCACCGAGTGCTTGCTATCTTCTGGGTGCTGCCCGCCGAGGATGCAGCACAACGGCCATTTCGTCAGCAGTCGGTCACCGCCTGCACCTAATACCAAGTCTATCCAGCACCGGATTCAACCCCAGGATCATGACCAGAGCCAGACTTACAGTCAGAACGACCAGGACTCTGACGACGGTAACCAGCTGCAGAGCGCCGACGAGAACGACCTCGAGCAGGACGACCAGGATGCTACCCGTCTTGGGAAGCGCAAGAGACCCATATCTGTTTCGTACGTTATTCGCTTCTCTAGTACTGTACAATGTTGTCTAGTCCACCTCGTTCGACCCTACAATTCCTTCGCATCTCGCTCGACTCAACCCCGAACTTTAGCATCCACCACCCCTCCCCGCTCCTCGTTGCCTCTTTCCTGTCTGCCCTCTTGTTCATGATACGTGCCCTGATGCTTCCTTCTTTTCTTCCCCATGTCAGCATCTCCTGAGCCTGTGGCCCCCGAGCAGAATCCCGATGCTAACAATCCTGTCCCAAGATGCGAGTTGTGCAAGCAGAGAAAGGTACTTTGGCACCTTCTTGTTCATCTTCGTTCGCTGCTTGTTCCCTTCTAAATGCCCCCCCCCCCCGGTCTCTCTCTCTCTCTCTCTCTCTCTCTCTTGGGGGGCCTGCCCTTCCACTCAAATGATCTTTTATATATATCCTCTGCCTTTCAGGTCTTAATCTCCTGTTACTCGTCGTTGTCTTTGTTTTCGTCACCAAGCTTCCGGCCTTCTCACCACGACTAGCCTGGCACTCGAAGCCCGCTCAGCTTCACCGTATGTATATGCAAGAACTGACTGGGCTGATGCCAACCTCAGGTAAAATGCGACCGCGGTCAGCCCTCGTGCGGTTGGTGTAGTCGAAATGGTGCACTGTGCGAGTACAAGGAACGTAAAAAGCCCGGCCTTCGCGCCGGCTACGGACGCGAGCTGGAGCAACGTTTGGACAAGCTTGAGGAGATCCTCAGGTCCCATGCCGAGATTCTACAGGCCGCCTTGACCTCTGGCCAGCACCAGGGCACGGCAGCAAGCATACGGAATAGCAATCCAAGTCTCCCTAGCGACCAAGGCACCCCGCGGGAAACCAATGCCTTGTTTCGGCCTTCCGAGTCGATTCGGACCCCCCAGGCAGAGACAGCCTTGTTTCTTCAAAAACCGTCCTCCTATCCGCCCAACACCCAGTCTATGGAGTTTGGAATGCCGCCTCCAACCCCATCCATGCATGAGTTTCAAGGGCAGATGCCCATGGCCAGCATGCCCGCGCCTACTAGCCACATCTCTGCCATAGCGCACCCTAGCAGCGCAGCTCAGGAATACTATGGGACGAACCAGACGCAGCTTCACTCTCCGGATGTTGCCATGGCGCAGAGCCAGGCTTCAACATCATCCGACCAGGAACTACCACCCTACGACCTGCTCTATGCCCTGGTCGACCTTTACTTCAAGCATATCAACACGTGGTGTCCTATCCTTCACAGGAAGACAACACTGGACTCTTTGTTTGGGCCTTCAACCCTGGAAGAGAGCGATCGCATCCTACTCCATGCCATCGTGGCGACGACGCTGCGGTATTCGACCGATTCGAGACTGACCGATGAGAGCAGGCAACACTATCACTCCATCTCCAAGCAAAGAGTCCTGCTATACGGCATGGAAAACTCTTCAGTCAAAGCCCTGCAAGCCTTGGTGATTCTTGCCCTGGATTTGGTTGGAGATAGTAACGGCCCTCCCGGGTGGAACATCATGGCCTTGATTACGAGGTCTGTTGTGCAACTCGGGTTGGCTGTGGAAAGCACGTCTTTCTCGGTCTCGCCCAGCTTCACCTCCATCTATACCCTCCGGGCCATGATTCTGCCAGAACCCAAGGACTTCATTGAGGAGGAGTCAAGACGGCGCCTTTTCTGGATGATTTATCTCCTGGATCGGTACGCCACACTGGCCACTGCGTTCGAATTCGCACTAGACGACAAGGAAATCGACAGAACACTACCATGTCGAGATGACATATGGGTCAAAAACCAAAAGGTCGAGACACGGTGGTTCCGAACTCATGATAACCAGGAGGACATGAATCCAGAATACGACATCAACAAGCCGGAGAACCTAGGAGCATTCTCCTACTACATAGAGATCCTAGCGATATTGTCCAAGATCCACAAGTTCTTGAAGCAGCCTGTTGACATCAGCGCTTTGAGCGACGTGGAGCAGTGGCAGATGCGGTACAAGGAGCTTGACAATATGCTTACTTCATGGAAGTTCGGTCTCCCCGGTGAATACGGCAACATGGCCAAGCTGTTCCAGCCCGGAAATAAGATGCTCAACTGCGGATGGGTGATGCTGCACGCCACCTATCACACAGCCGTCATACGGCTACACTCCTCGGCCGCGTATCCCACCACTCGGTCACCAATCTTTACGCCTTCATACAGCGCTTCGCAGCGCTGTCATGGCGCAGTCGAGAACATTGCAGCGCTGGGCGAGTTCGTCGTCAACAATGGGCTCTTGGCGAAGTTGGGCCCCCCCTTTGCCTTCACCCTCTGGGTGGCCTCGCGTTTACTGCTCGTCCACGGCTCCACCGTAGAGCACAAGCTGTCTCCACAGATCCAATTCTTCGTAGAGACGTTGCGAGAGATGGGGCATTACTGGCCGGTGGCAGCGCGCTACTGCATTCTTCTGCAACGTGTCCTCGACGAGCACCGGGATAGTGAGCGGCAAGGCGACGGTGTCACACCCAGTTCGGTCAAGATACTGGCTGACATGCGGCGCACAGCTTTTGACCTCGATTTTCTGATATCTCGCCAGCCACGGGCAAACGGTATCCCCAGCCATAGTCGTCTACCAAGCGTTACACCGGCGAGGACGCCGGCACCAAATGAGCTTGAATATCTGGACGTGTTTGATTTCTTCAACGTACCGCGGTTGCCGGTAGGCAATGAGAATGTTGCCGGCAGTCGGCCCGCCATGAATAATGCCAACGGGCAAAACGGAGCTTCGTCTGGGATGGAAGGCAGTAGTGGAAGCGGCAGTTCCCACGCGCCAGCTAAGCAAGGCAATGAGTTCAACATCACAAACTTCACGGTCGATGCTACTAGCGACTGGTTGTTTAAGCAGGATGGTGCTACATTTCTTTCTTAAACCGCGGTTGATGGCGGGAACGTTTGCGTGTTTTTCCAGCGGCAGCGAGGAATGGTGATACTAGGCGTGCTGCTTCATAAGATTGTTCTCGGCAAAGTAATGGTGCACGAGCCGAGTAGCGTTTCGATATCTTCTCTGTTCGGCTCGACATCCTCTCGGAGACGGCTACCTAGGTCACTAGGCCACTCTTGTAGCGGTTCCTTTGCATAATAATGACGGACTCGCGACGGATTCGCAATGCGCAGATATGAACAGGAGAGCCCTGGTGAAGCAAGCGGGGATAGCAATATAGGGCTTTCATTTCTATTCCATATACTTCGTAAAAACGAACCCAAAAGGAATCAGGACGCGTCGAAGTAGTGCCAAGAAAAACCCATGTAAAGCGAGGAATGTCGCAGAGCCAGCTGTATAGCGTCTTGTTGGATTCAGATGCGCGTCGTCATCTATTGCTAGTTAGCTCCGCTAAGTGTGTATGGTGTGACTATTTCCTAGGAATGGCCTTCAACACTCCGCCCTTTTCTTCGTTCCAGAGACCGAACCACACGAATGCCATGCCGTACACGGTGTGGGCAACGTGATATGATACGTATCGGGCATTATTGAGTCCGTTTGGTGTAGATTGGACTTTCTGGGCATATGAGAAGACAAGAGGTAGGGAAAATCGGAGTCCCCGATGAACTCTGCGCGGTCCAACTGCTTGCTGCATTAATATTTAGCGAGCTGGGCGAGGTCTATGACGAACAGCAGCGATGACAAGATGCTCATCCACCACATCGTATACCATGCTAGTTGAGCGTAAAAGCAGGAAATCCCGCGGGTGGAGCCCGTCCCAATGCTGCACACTTCCACCTCAGCGCGGCGGCCTGGAACGTTTGCATGCACAAGATGAAGGGTATATAATCATTATATAGAGAGCCGCCAAGCTATCTGTTTTTTGCCGGTCCCCATATTTGCTTTCCATTCCTTCGGAACGAACAGGGTCCCGACATGCAATGGCAAGGACCGTCCCAAAGCACCAACGCCTAGTCATGATGCAAATCAACCCGTCCAAGTGACAAATAACATTCCATGTGCTTCCACTCAGCAATAACAGACACTCAGCCGCAGCAAACACTCGGTTCCTCGATGCCGGCAGCATTGGAGTTTGATGGCGTCGCAGCGTCCAAGACGACACGGACTACGAGCCAGTCGCATAAGAACTTGCCGAGGCCAGCGCCAATGATGATGGAGATGATGAGGTATCCATTATAGTACATGGCCAGCAGCATGACAATGTAGGCGAGGCCAAAAGTAGCGGCGTGAAGCAAGGATCGGATGAGCTGCTGCAAGGGCGAAGCACGGAAGACGAGAGTCTGCGGCGCCACGACGGCGGGGGGTTCGCAGCAGTTGGTTTCCTTGGGTATGCGAGCCTGGAGTTCGGCGGCGCGAGCCTGAAACTGGCGCTGGATCAGAGAGTCGTATTCTTTGCCTAGGCGGCGGGAGACCTCAAGGAGAACGGTAAGAAGGCTGACGCCGATGCAGCTGGCGGCGAACATGCCAGCGTTCTTGATCTGCCATGAATTGGAGAGGAAACCTGAAATGGACCCCATTTAGCATAGGCTCGGTTAGGGTTGATAAATTTACCCCGAGGTTTTGTAACTATCGGCGAGGGTCATTACGGCGTACGTACAAGCATCAATAGTGTACCAGTTCCACAACATCTAATCGTGTGTAAGTAGATGGTTACAGTGTGCGCTCCGGGGTACGGATAGAAAGATTGACCTACCGACATCTTGCAGTCGGCCGTGGAACTGCCCATGGAGCCGTGATCCATGATTAGCGGATTTGGAATTGAAGATAGTTGGGAGCGTGAGGGGGGGTATTATGCCGGCGGGCTAGAAATTGAGGACGTGGACGACAGAAGCTGTTGGACGGGGCGGATACTACGGCCAGGACGCGACAATTCGAGAGGTGTCGGAGTAGGTGGGCACGAGAAATGTCGCAAAAAGCACCGGGTGTCTTGAGCGCTGCAGCAGAGTGGCTAGACAGAATTGAAGAGAGTCGCGTAAGTTCCGAGGCCGAAGTGGTTGTGTGCAAGAAGAATTGACGTGCGGCGTAAGGGTCGCCGGGGCCTGGTTTGCTTGATATCTATAAGAGAATAGCCAAGCACCCTGGCCTGGGTGTTGGGTCGGGGCAGCAAGTGTATGTATGGTTAGGAGAGGAGAGGGAATCAGGAGCCCCGCAACATCAGCACGGCCAACATCGGTAACAGTCGCAGTGATCTAGCAGCGACAGGGGGCAATGGGAGGAAGAGACGGAGATCCTAGTCAGTTGGGTGAGTGCTGCACCAGTTTCAAGAGAGGCAACAAGGACGAGGGCCGGAGCATGGGCAAGGGTCAGTAGATCGGGTGAAGCTTCAAATCAAAAGAGAGGGGGCGACCAACACCTGCTGGTGGCATTGATCAACATTGAATGATCGGGTATTGGTGTAGACGACGGCGCTGCCCAGCACTAAAAGCTGCCACCATGGAGAGGATCCATCCTTTATCTTGCTCACGCTAAACCAGGTTTGAAAATCGAGTTGGACAAACATGGATTGAAGGGGCTGAATCGAGTCGATCCGCCGCCACCCCACGTGTGTGTGTTGCTTTTCGCTAGAGAAAACAGACGCTTATGTCAGTCAGCATTCGGATAAAAAGATGGAAGGAACGGACAAAGAAGGCCCTTCCCCCCCCCCCCCAAGAGCCTCAACGCACGTCCCACCCCGGGCCCGTATCCCATGTGGATACCGTCCCCATGGGAGACACCGGTCGGGCCCGCTTTCCAGCAGAAACTTGCTCAAAGATGCTCAACTCACCAATCACTAATACCTGGCCCGTTGTCTACTGTCGTATTCGCTCGCCTTGGCCCGTCTCTCTGTGATATGCTCTCGACTTGCGGACCCGGTCCCAAGACCATTTCTGCCCCAATTCCAATTCCATATCCAGTCCACATGGGCATATCCATCGAGGGCTGGCACCGGTCCGGCTTGTTAAGCCTTGGCAATGCCTCAAGAAACAAAAACTTGCTCAAACAAAAACGTGGTAGGTGCGTGGCCAACATGGGCAAGGTGCCAATCTACCAATAAATCCTCTTCAACCCGCCCAGTGTTCCCTCCCGGTACCCCGTACGGGTCCAAACATCTCGGAGCCGCCCCCCAAACCGGAAACAAACCAATGCCACTACATCAACTAGCTACCCACCGGAACCTCCTAACCACAAACACGGCGGGCATTGCGTCCCGGAAAACTTCTCAAGCCTAGCTTTGTCCCGGTCTTCTAACACAGGATGCGACGGTGCCACACCGTCCCTTTGGCCTTAAAAGCGTCCCCGCGTCGCCGCCTACTCTACTCGACCTCTTCCATCCCAGCCTGTTAGATGCCTTTTCATCTGCACTGCGCGGCCACCCAGTTTTCCAAGTTATTCGCCCGCTTCGTGTCGACACCATCCTATTTTTCTACCTTGACTGGGTGGAACGCGGTAAACTTGGACGGCGCTTCGGCCACGGGCGCCGACTTATACGACCTCCTGGCTGTCTGTCTGTCATCGTTCCCCTCCTGACGCCCGTCATCTAGCAACATGGACTTCAATCTCAAGAGCCAGATGGCGGCTCGCCATATCCAGGACTTCAGCGATGCCGCCTCATTAGAACCTCATTGGGGCTACTCGGACCGGGTGGTTCCCTGCACAAACGATGCGGGATCTTGTGCCTATCTCGACGTCGTATACGGCTCCCACGATCTTGGCATGCTGTACTCTGGCATCCTATGGATTATTATCGGTGGCATTTTGTTGGTGTGGGCCGTTGGTCGACGGGCACTGCCATCGCTATCGGAAGAAGATGTGCTCCGCGCTGCTATTCTCGAGGATTCTCGTCAGAGCAAGAGCTTCCTCAACCGCCTGCGCCAAGCAATCTCGTCCGGCATGAACCGATACCTGCTCCCTGACTTCATCCGTCCCATCTTCGGTAGGACCACTCGCCTACAGGTCTTGATCCTGGCCGTCTTGTCGGGGTATCTCCTCATCTTCTCGTTCGTCGGCATCGTATATAACACTTGGATTACCCCAGTCAAGAATATGCCCGGTGTTTATAACACCAGAGTTAGTCTTGGCCCTTGGGCTGATCGTATTGGAATTCTCGCCTACGCACTCACGCCCTTGGCCGTCCTCTTCGCCAGCAGGGAGTCTATCCTGTCTCTTCTCACTGGCGTTCCTTACCAGAACTTCAATTTCCTCCACCGTTGGCTTGGATATATAATTGTCATCCAGTCTGTTCTGCATACCGTTGGCTGGCTAGTCATCGAAGTTCGCTTGTATCAGCCTCAACCTAAAGTTGCTGTAGAATGGATTACCCAGCTCTACATGATCTGGGGCTGTATCGCCCTCTTCTTCATCCTGGCGCTCTACGTTCTCAGCTTACCCCCCGTCATCCGCCTGACTGGCTACGAATTCTTCCGCAAGTCTCATTACGTATTAGCTATGCTGTATGTTGGTGCCTGCATTGGACATTGGAATTACCTGGAGTGCTTCATGATCCCTGCTCTTATCATCTGGTTCTTGGATCGTGCTGCTCGCGCTATCAGGACCGCCTTGGTACATCACGACTTCATCGAGGGCAAGGGTATGGGTTTCTCCGCCGCTCAGGCTGGCATGGTCATCTTCCCGGACTCTGAAAATGGCGACGTCATCCGTCTTGATTTTTCTCACCCCCACGATGCGTGGAGCATCGGCCAGCACTTCTACTTGTGCTTCACTGAGAGCAGCATCTGGCAGTCGCACCCTTTTACTCCACTGAACGTCCCCATAACGGTGAACGGCAGAACGAAGCACTCTTACATCTTCCGCGCTAAAAGTGGCGAGACCAAGAAGGTTGCCGAGGTCGTAAAGCGGAAGTTGGCCACAGTCTCGGGAGACAAAAGCGAGGCAGCGCTCACAACCTCGGTCATCTTAACTGGGCCTTACGGCGATCCAATTCTTCGCAATGTCACCTCAGATGTCAATATTCTATGTGTTGCAGGCGGAACTGGCGTCACATATGTTCTTCCCGCCTTGATGAGCTTGAGAAGGCACTCGGGAGCTTCCCGGAAGCTCGAACTCGTCTGGGTCGTTCGCCACACGAGGGATATCGAATGGATCAGGCCTGAATTGGATCTTTTAGAAGCCGAGGACGGACCTAAGGTTGTTGTCCGGATTTTTGCAACACGCGATGCCAGCAGCCCTGTTTCCTCACCGCGACAATCTAAAAACCTGTCCGAGTCAGGGTCAACATCAGATGCTCGTGGGCATTCGGGAGAAAAGCAAATCCAGATGGTAGCAACACCCATAGGCGATATAACCTCTAGCGATGCCCCTCGGCACCCTGATATGACAACCACTGTGCGGCAGTTTGTAGATGCGACCATCTCTGGACGAACAGCAGTTTTCGCTAGTGGCCCTGGAGGCTTGATTTCCGATATTCGCGTAGCTGTGGCGCAGTGCAACTCAGTAATGAAAGTGTGGCGAGGAGAAGAACGCTACAATGTATCTCTAATCCACGACGAGCGTATGGAGCGATAATACTAAAAGAACTTTTTAATTTCTACTTATTTAGATCTATATAAATACTATTTTATAAGTTAGTTAGTAGACCTATAGAATTATATTATAGGTGTCTAGAGGTAATACTAAAGATAATTCTTATATTAGTAGCTAGTTATCTTACTAACTAATTGTTATAAAGTAGGCTTACTATAGGGGTAATTTGGTTAAATGTGGCGGAATTACACGTGAATTCACTGGCGAATGTACGGTTACCTTATGGCGAATCGTTAGGGAATAGGCAGTAAAATCACCCCACTTTTATAGTAATTTCACTAATAATATCACTAGGATTAGCCTAGGATTTCCTACCTAAGAAATAAGAGGTTTTCCTTATTTCTATAGGATTTTACTATAGTTATATAATATATAGTATAATTATTTAATTAATTATTATAATTCTTATAATTTAATAATTAATAGTCTAATATATATATTTATAATAACTAATATACTTATTTATTAATTAATACTATTATAATAATTAATAAGAATAATAATAATAAGGTAACTATCTTATAATTATATAGTAATTAGTTTATATAGCTTAATACTATTTAAGTAAAAGTAAAGTGTTATAATCTCTAAGAGTATAATAACTTAAAGGTTATAGTAGTAAACTAATTAATCTTTAAGATATATTTAAAGAAACTAATAAAGCTACTTATAATATAATATTTATACGCCTTAACTAAAAATAAGCTTACTACTTACTAAAAAGTTACTATAGCTATAGTAATTACTAAGATATCCTAGTAAGTAACTATATAGCTATATATAGTAAGAAATAAAGCTATTATAGCTATACCTAATAAGCTTATATATAAAACTAAATATATAATAACACTAAATAATCTTAACTAATATAATTTTATATACTTAAATAGCTAAATAAGCTACTATTATAAGGAAGTATATATGTATACTACTTAGTAAAAAGATATTAAAAATATAGCTAATATAGTTAAATTTACTATATCTATAGATCTTTAAGAAAGATATTATAAATTTAATAAACTACTAGCTAGATAGCTTAATAAGCTTAGTATAGTAGTAAGAATAACTAAAAAAAAGTATATAAAGTATACTTATAATAAGTATAGTAAAGTGTTAGTAAAAGCCTAGTAAAAGGCCTTAACTACTAAAAAAGATCTTATTATATAGCTTAATAAATAAAATATAGCTAATAGTAAATTAGTATAAGTTAATTTACCTAGCTACTAATAGCTATAAATTTAGTTTGATAACCTTATTACTACTTTATAAAGTAGCTTACTTAGCTTCTAGCTATATTTATATATAGTAACTAGTAAAATAATAAGTAATTAAAATAATCTTAACTAGTAGTCTTTTTATAAGATAGCACTAGAAAAAGTTAAAGCCTTTACTAATAACTTACTATATTATAGCTAAAGAGGCTATAGCGTATTTAGCCTAACTAGAAGTAATAATAATAATAACCTAACGTATAGTAAAAATATAGTAAAAATAAATAAATTAACTAATAAGAGATATTACTATTAATAAAGCGTAAGTAAAAAAGTAAAGTGCCTTATATACTTTAATTCTTATTTATTATAACTTTATTACTTTATAAATAAGTTATAAAGGCCTAAAAATTAGTAAGTAAATATATAATATTAGTAATAAATAAATAAGTATATTATAAGTAACCCTAACTTTACTAAATAAGTATAAAGAATTAAGGCTAAGTTATATTAACTATATAGTAAATACTATATAAAGGTAGCCTTTTATACTACTTTATAAAGCTATAAGCTAAGTAATTTAGCTTTACTTAATTTAAGTACTACTAACTATATATTTAACTATATATTAAAGTTTATTATATTAGTAGTAGCCTTAATAAGTAACTATATTTAGGCTAGTACTACTTAAGTTATAAATAAAGAATATAATACTATAGAAATTATTCTAAAAGGCGCTAATAGCTTACTAACTAAGCTTTATATATATAATATAATATATTATAGTATATTTACTATATTACTTATTTCCTTAATAAGGCTATACTAGTAAAGTATATAGTAAAATATAAGCCTAGGTAATAATTACCTAAGGCGTATAGACTATAGCCTTATAGGCTATATTAAGGAATAAGGTAACTAATAAGTACTTAAATATTATAAGTAATATAGCTATAGTTAAGAAAGTAAAAGCGCTTTTACTATATATTTTACTAATAACTTACTACTAACCCTATAAGTAAGAAATAAATATATAATACTAATATAGTAATAACTACTTTATAGTAATATAAGAATATAGTATAAGTATTTTAGCTACCTAGGTGCTAAGGCTTTAATAAAGATTATAAATACTATATATAAAGTATATTTAACTTAAGTTAATACTATAATAATATAAGACTATAATTTATATAGTCTTAGTAAAATAAGGTAGTAAATTTATAACTAGCTTTATAAATTAATTATAAATATAGCGCTAGGTAATTACCTAGCACTAGACTTTTATAATCTTAAATAAGGCTATATAAAATACTACTTTAAAATAATAATCTTAAATTAGGTAACTAGCCTTATATAGAATTTCTACTAATATAGCTACTACTAAGATACTATTAAATTAATAATAAGGGGCTTTCTTATAATACTAAAAACTAAATATTTAATTACACTAAAAGTTATTAAGGCTAACTAAGAAATCTTATGCCTTAAGTAACTTATAGATACGCTCTTTAATTATAAGATCTTTATTAAGCTATTAGTAGTAAATACTTAGGCTTAAAATAGAGGCGCTAAGTAAATTACTATAATTATTAAACTTAAGGTATTATATATATATTAATATAAAATTACCTAAAGTCCTATAGCCTAAAATTATAACTATAGCTACTTATTTTTATAATTAAATACTATTAGTAGCTTAAGGGTAGAAATTACTATATTAAATATTTTACTTATATTTTATACTTAATAAGTATACTAAGCCTTTACTAATAGTAAAGCTAGATCTTTTATATTTATAAGCTTATAAATACTAAGTATATATACTAATAGTAAATATATTACTATTATAAAACTAGTAGTAAAAGCTTACTACTATATATAGATTAGATTTCTTATTAGATATATATCTAGTAATTTATATTACGTCTAGTATTTAGTATAAAAATAAGGTCTTTACTATATATAATATAATATTTAATAAGAAATAACTCTTTAATAGATTAATAAATAGATTACTTAATAAGCTTCATAAAACTAACCTGATAGTAATTTAATAATAAATTAACTAGCTAATAGTAACTAGTAATTAAACCCCTTTATATAAAGAAGCTAATAAGGAAATAGATAAAGTAATTAAGTATACTAATATTACTTTACTAGGCGCTTTATAATTAGGTAATATACTAGAATATCTATATAAGTAGGTAAAGTTTATACTTCTCCTTACTTTACTACTATTACTACTAAGTGCGTTTTATAGCCTTTATAAATATTAATATAAGGGGTAGTAAACTAAGAACTAATAGTTTTAAAATAATAAGGATAGTAATCCCTTATATCTTATTTTATCCTTATATAATTAACTTATAAGACGTTACTAAGTGTAAAAAGGTATTAAATTCCTAAGTAACTATAGCTAGCTTATTAGGTAATCTCTAGCTAGTAGTAACCTTACTTAAAGGTATTATAAAAAAGTATTATCTTACTATATATATAGGTAATTAGATTACACTAAGGACTTTATTTAAGGCTACTTTCCTTATAAGGCTTACTTTATAATAAAAGATTATAGACTATACGTAAAGTAGCTTATAAGTAATAATATAGTTTAGTATATTATAAAGTTAACTAGTAAGTAAAAATTACTACTTTTAGCTAAAGCGTGCCTATAGCTAAGAATTAATTAACTATATAACGCCTAATAAGTATAATACTTATAAAGACGTTACTAGTAAATTACTAATATATATTAAAGCTATTACTAGACCTTATAGGGTAATAGGTATATATTAGAAGTTACTACACCCTCTACTAATCTATAGATAGTTAAAAGGCTACCTATATAAAAGTAATTTAAAGACACTAAAATTATATATCTATATAGGAATAAAATATTATAATCTTAGGTAATAGTACTATAAGTAGTAGCTAAAGGGTATTAAGTCCTTAGCTACTACTAAGTATATACTTATAAGCTTAATAAATATAGTTAATTAACTAAATTTAAAGTAAGACTTATTATTTATAGTAACTAATAAGTAAAAGATCTATAAAATACTTATATAGCTATATTAGTAAGTATATTATTTAAAATATTTATAGTAATAGCTACTTATTTTAACCTAGAACTACTTTAATATAATATAGTAAGGATATTTACTTATACTACTATTAATAAAGTAGTATTTATAAAAATACTTATAGGCTACTAAATTACTAGCTAGATCTTTTAGTTATTAAAAGTACTCTATAGGCTTTAATAATCTCTTTAACTATAGTAAAAGCACCTTAAAAAAGGGCTTAATATATACAGATTTTACTAAGTACTTAGTAATAATTACTATTAGAAATAGGATTATATTATATTCTTTTTTTATACTAATAACTATATATTAGCCTATTACTATATAAATAAAGTGTATATAAGTAATAAGATAGTAACACTTTAGTAATAATACTACCTTAAAAGTAGAGGCCTATTATAGTAGTTCTTTAGCCTTAAGGTAATTTATAACTAAAGTAACTATTATCTTTAGCTTTTATAAGTAGTATATTATAATAAAATAATAAAACTACTACTAATAAGTAATATAAATAAATATAATAAATTATTACTTATAGAAAAGACTACACTACTATCTAGTAAATATATA